AATCAGCATTATGCAAAAATGGAGGATGACCACATCAGGTCACAAAGTGGAGGGTGACTACATCATTACAAAACTGCCAAATTACATCATTTCATAGCCATCACAGTCACCATTTCTTGCCTTGCACCTCGATGTTTGTTCCTGCCAGACAGGAACATTAATTGCAATAGTTGGATAGGAGATTTTTTTTCTATTGTAAACATGAAATACTGGATAATGAGGTAGCTGGTGAGGTGTAAACACAACTGCTGTCGAGTCATTTCCAACTCATAGCAGCCCCTCCTTGGATTTCCAAGGCAGTATCACTATAGAAGTACATTGCCGAACCTTCCTTCTGAGGAGTGGCTGGTGGGTTTGAACCATCAGCCTTCTGGTTAGCAGTCAAGTGCCTTAGGCACTATGCCACCAGAGCTCCTTGGTAAGTGAGGAGTAGGTGTATACCATATTTTGCTTTTGCATTCCTCTGTTGATTGGCATTTTGGTTATTTCTACCTTGTGACTGTTGAGAAAGGTGCTGCAGCAAACGTTAGTATAGGGGCCAAGAGTACATTCTTGACCTTTCAAAACCCTCTATTCTTCTTTCTGGCCATTTCCTACACAATGCAGAGGAAATATGTTGCTTTAGTACTGGAAACCTGACGTTACAGAGTGTGGGGCCATGTTTCCTGTGGGGGCAATCAGAATGCTGAGGAAGGGGAAAAGAGGAACACAGGGACCACGCTGAGTGGACTTCCACTCCAGCCTTGCTCAATGGTACTCTTCCTTCCGACCTGCAGGGGCTGCTGCACTTGACATGAGATTCAGCTCCAGCCCAGCCTCCTTCACGCGCAGTGCTTCACCCTTTCCCGGAATTTCTTGGAGGAATCCTGTAAGCCATAAAGCCATGAGAAACACAACACAACACTAGGACTACAGGTCCTGCACTGTTCAAAACCTTGTGCTTCCCTTTCAATACTTGCCTTGCGGTGGATGTTTGAGGCATGAGTTGGGGAATCTGCCTCCGTCACTTAGTTCAAACTTCTTTCTTTGTTCATTTATTCATTTATTCATTCAGCAGGCCTCTTTTTGCCCTTCCACTGAGCCACGTACTCTGTTACAGGTACTGGAGATCAGGCATGAGCCGTTGCAGCCCTGCCCTTCCAGAGCTCGTGCTGATGTTGTCAGGTGCTGTCACGTCGATGCCAACTCAGCAACCCCGTGTGACAGAGCGGAACTGCCCCATAGGGGTTTCTTGGCTGTAGCCTCTGTGGAAGCAGATCTCCAGGTCTTTCGCCCACGCAGCCACTGGGTGGGTTTGAACAACAACCTTTTGATATGCAGTTGAACACTTAACTGTCTGTGGCACCAGGGCTCGTAGGTGTGGCCTGTTCTGGGTCACGATGAGGTTTTAAACGATAAGCAGATGCTGTTGAGTGATTTCCAACTCGTGGTGAGCCCAGGAGTGTCTGAGTAGAACTGTGCTCCGTAAGCTTTCCAGTGACCAATTTTTCAGGAGCAGAGTCAGGCCTTCCGAGGTGCCTCTGTGTAGACTCAAACGTCCAACCTTTCGGTTAGCGGCGTTTTATTCAAGCAAAACAGTTTGGTAGTAAATATATGAACTCACCCGACAGATAATTTTTCATAGAACAAGCATTTAAAGTAGACAGACTCCAGAATGTAGCTTGGTACCTTCCTCACGATCCTTGCACTTGGGTGTTCTTTTCCCTCTCCTGTGCCTTTATGACTTCAAAGCGGACAGGCCACTGCGTGCTCCTGGCTGTCGAGGAGCACCCACTGAGGTGCGACTTCTCACACTCCTGAGCGTCCTTGCTGAGGGGAGAGAGAGGAAAGGCAAACAGGGCTCTGGGTTCTGGAAACTTCGTACTCGGGGGTCCTCCCACCCAGCACCAGTCCTGCAGCGCTTGGGAGGGTCTTATGGAAACACCTAGCCCTCGTTGCATCATGAACATGGAGCAGTGATCTCCTTACTCCTTCACATCTTTCTCTGAGAACGAGCCAATACTCCATAACAGGGAGCTCTCAGATTTTGATCAAGGCCCGACTTACACGTCTTATTGCTGACGTGACAGCTGGACTCCTGATTACTTACAGCTTTGTTCTCTAGGACACTGACCTCCGTGTGACGGGGACAGACCAGCTGTCCTGGAGCTTCTGCCTCTCAGCGACCGCATGTGCGTTGGCATAGAACTGTGCCCCACAGGATTTTCAGGGACTGAAGTTTCAGAAGCAGATCAGCAGGCCTGCCTTCTGAGGCCTCTGGATTCGAACCTCTAACCTTTTAGTTAGCAGCCAAGTTTGTTAACTGTTGGCACCACCCAAAGACCCTAAGACTCCTGATGTAGGCATTTGTGACCTGTTCTGGAAGCAGACACCCACAGAGGCTACCATGGTGCTGGCATCTCTTCTGCATCCCAAATCTTGGGGCATCAAGATACCCTTCTGTGGTAGTTAAAGTTATGTGTCAACTTGGCTGGACCTGGTTTTGAGTGGCTGGGTAGCTGGTGGTAGTTATTCCCTGTGATGAGACTGGTAGTCAAGCCCATGGTGGAACCTACTGTGAGAAGCTGAGTAGTTGCCTTAGGGATGTGGTCTGTTTCCAGTGTATAAGAAGAAGGTTTGAGGAAGGTCTCCAGCTTTTGGCACGCTTGCCTGCATGTAGCCAAGTCGTTATTCAGCAGCCTGTCATGTTGTCTGCCCATCTTGTGACTCTTACTGCACTTGAGTTGATGGCCTGCCATGTGGCTTGGTAATATCAGGACTGTGCCTTCTTACTTGTCGACCTTGGGTTTGGCAGCTTCAGCAGCCAGCAGCTGCCAGGGTGAAAAAAGCCTCCAGCTTCAGTGGGCCGGGAGCAGTAGGCAGAGCTGAAGCCCAAGGTCGAGTCAAGAGGCTTTCACTTCGAACTCGGACTTCTAGCCTCCTTCAGACTTCTAGAACTGTAAGAGAATAAATTCCTGTTTGTTACAGCCATCCACCTGTGGTATTTTCTGTTAGAGTGGCACAAAGTAACCAAAACACCGTCTCTAACAACAGCAATTGTAATAGGGAGGCACACTTGCATGCTTGCACGTGCCTGGGCATGGGTCTGTGTGCTACATGTGCGTCAGCTCATTAGCCTCATAACAACCGGAGGAGATACTTGATCGCAGGTACTGGTACAAAGAAGAGCCTTGAGGCCAAGTAACTTGTCCAGCTGGGGCAGAGTAGAGGATTGGACCCAGCAGTCCAAGCTCAACCTGCTCCTCTGTAGCCTTTCTCAGGAGCCAAAGGGAGCTTGTGTTTGTCCCCGTGTTTAAGCTGCTCTGTAAGAAGGACACTCATAGCAACCCCTGGCACAAAGGAACAAAATGCTGCCTGGTCCCATGCCAGCCCCACGATCGGTTACAGATGGAAGCTGCACAGGGCTTTCATTGGCTGCGTTGTGGAAGTAGGTTGCCAGGCCTTTCTTCCTAGTCCACCTCAGTCGGGAAGCTGTGCTGACCTGTTCAGCATCACAGCAGCACACAAGCCTCCACTGACAGATGGCTGGGGCTGTGCCTGAGGTGCCTTGGCCGGCATTGAAACCCAGATCTTCCACATGGAAGGTGAGAATTCTACCACTGATGCACTCTACTGGGGGAGGTGGTCCCGGGTGGTGGAAACAGTTAATGCACTCAGCTGCTAAGGAGAAGGGTGGAGCTTCTGTTTCACCTGGAGGTGCCTCTTAATAAAGGCCTAGTGACCCACTTCTAAAAATCCAGCCACTGGAAACCCTATGGGGCACAGTTCCTCTCTGTTGGACATGGGGTCGCTGTGAATCAGAATGGACTCAGTGGCAGCTGGTAAGGAAGGGGAGTGGTACAGGCACCACTGAGAAGAGTTCTGGGACTCTGGCCTAATCCTGGCTGTGGGGTCGTGGGGCAGGAGCACCAGCAAGCTGAGCCTAGCACTGCCCTTGGATGGGGCCAAGGAAGCCCTGCCCTGAGCTTTATGCTTCATGGGATGGGGGATGAGCAAGGCACACAGGCTGGTGTCTGCATGCTGATGCTGGGTGCCTGTCACAGCACTCTAGTGTGAAGCTCTGGGGACTCATGAAATTCTGAGTTAGAACCAGCTCTCCTGGGGGTTGTGAAGGTGTTAAGACAGGAGGCCAGGATGCCTGAGTTCTCTTACTGGGGACTGTTAGAGTGGGTGTGGTGAGTCTGGGGCAGAGCTGAGCTGGGATCAGGTGACATAGGTCTCCTCTCCTCAACCTTCTTGAGTCAATAGGTTGAGGATGCCTGCCTCTTTTTAATTTCCCAGGGACATTGTCTGATTTGGGCTTTGGAGGGAACAGCTCTGTCTCTCTAATGAGCATTGCTAGTCATTTCTGCCCTTGTTGGTTTGGGACTAGGTCCAGGTCTCCATGTGGTACAGGTGGTTTGCACTGAACTATTAATCTAAGGGCGAGCTCTGGTAGCATAGTGCCTAAGGCACTTGACTGCTAACCAGAAGGCTGGCAGTTCAAACCCATCAGCCACTCCTTGGAAGGAAGATGGGGCAATCTACTTCCGTAGTGATACTGCCTTGAAAACCCAAGGAGGGGTCGCTATGAGTCGGGTTCGACTCGACAGCACATAACAACAACAACATTAACCTAAGGAGCTCTGGTGATGCAGCGCCTAAGGCATTTGACTGCTAACCAGAAGGTTCTGAGGAAGGAAGACTGGGCAGTCTACTTGCATAAAGATTTACCATCTCAGAAACCCAGTGGGGGTTGCTGTGAGCCTCAATGGAGTTGATGGCAGTGAGTTTGGTTTGGTTTTTATTAACCTAAAAGTTGGGGGTGCCAGCCCCTCAAGCAGCACTCATGGTCTGCTCGCATAAGGATCACAGCCTTGAAAACCCTGTGGAGCAGCTCTGTGTGTTACACGTGGGGTCACCATGAGTTAGAATCTACTTGGTGGCAACATTTTTTTTTTTTTTTTTTGCTGGAAGCCTTGCCCTGGCCTCAGTACCCCCTTTTGCTTGTTATTCCTCAGCTGGGGGGTTCCTCTGGTCATCACCGTGGCTGCTGTCTTGCTGAAGAAGATTGGCTACGATGCCTCAGATGTTTCTGTGGGCTGGTGCTGGATCGACCTGGAAGCCGAGGACCGTGCCCTGTGGATGCTGCTGACCGGGAAGCTGTGGGAGATACTGGCTTACATCACACTGCCCGTGCTCTACATCCTCATCAGGAAGCACATTAACAGGGCGGTAGGTGTGCCCGTGGCAGGTGTGGGGAACACACAGAATGCCGGTCGGCCACTCTACAGGACAGGCTGTGTCTCTGGCGACAGGACGAGTAACAGACCAGAGTGACCACTTACTTTATGACATAGTCATCTCATTTGCTTACGATATAGCCCTCTTAGGAGCCAGTCCTGTTACCCTTTCATTTGTAGATAGGGAAATTGAGGCTTACAGGAATTAAGAGGCCTACTCAGACTCCCAGCTCCCTCAGAGCAAGCTGCATACCCATCCTGTGCTCTCAGACTCAGCTCTCTACTGCCTCCTGGTGGACAGATCCTGGTGGTTGCTTTAAACTTAAAAGGAATTTAGATGAAAGGTGAAAACATACCCAAAGAGAAATTAACCTGAGATGCCTCCTAGTGATACTGCCTTGGAAACCAAAGGAGGGGTCCTTATGTGTCAAAATTGACTCAGTGGCAGTGAGTTTGGTTTTTTGTTTTTTTGGAGATGCCCCTGGAAAGGAAGGGCTGTGGGATTAATTTCATTTGTCAGCAATGCAAAGAACTCACCTAATTACCCTTGGTCATCAAAATGACATAACAGATGGTTGTTAGTCCTTGGGTGGTACAGACAGTTAATGCACTCACCTGTTAACAGGAAAGTTGGAGGTTTGAGTGTATGCACAGGTGCCTCGGAAGAAAAGTCTGGCAGTCTGCTTTCAAAAAATCATCTACTAAAAACCTGTGGAGCACAATTCTATTTTGACACACATGGGGTCGCCATCAGTTGAAACTGACTTGATGGCAGCTGGTTTTTAATAAACGATAGACTTTTCAGGTGCCCAGGAGTTTATAGATCCACAGGCTGGGCTGCCAGAAAGCCTAGGAAAGATTGGTTTTCTGTTTACAATCTGGCCAGATTGTAAACCAGTTCTGCACACATAATCTGGGTTTCTAGTCACAGACAGACTACTACAAAAACAGCCTTAGAATTATCAATGCCGTTCCTTTGATACATTGTTTCTTGATCTATTGCTACAGAATCACAGCATAAGTTCAGGATGGAGTCAGTGGGTTCTGCCCTCCCAGAGAGAGGCAGATGGGCAGAGAAGTATAAGAAAAGACAAAAGGTAGCAGGTAGCTTGGGGGCATCAGAGGGGATCACATGTGATGCTCTGAGTTAGCTCTGCGAGCCCAGTTGCAGGCTTGCTGGTGAGCTCCCCTGTGTTACCTTTGCCTTCTGAGTTTGCAGAGGCTGACATCGTACCAGGGTCTTTCAGGGTGCACTATTGGCTCTGCAGCCATTCCTGTGTTCAGGGAATACTTCTGTTAGCTGTCTGTGACTCTCAGGACACCTGATCCCAACCACGCTCCCAACTGTGTCCTCAAGGCAGATTCCTGGTTCTATTAGTACATGGAAATTAATGTATTCTCCACCAACCCTGAAGCCCTTTTCTAAGGAGGTAGAATTGCTGCCCTAGTAGCCAGCAGGACTTTGGGTCTGAAATCACTGTTTCTGCAAGTTTTTCCTAATGGCTTGGGCCACAGTGCCCATTCCTCCTGCTGCTTTCCACCGCCCCGGGAAAGTTCAGGCTCCCTGGAGCTCTGCCAGGCTCTGTCCAGAACTGCCCTCTGGAAGTGCCCTTGTGTGTGCGTCTTTCTTTTCACCCCAGCCCCCGCAGGGGCGTGAGAATGGACTCCCTGTTACAGCTTTGCAAGGAAAAGGAGGCCTGGTGGGCAGGGCTGGAGCCCTGGTGGCACAATGGGTAAGCGCTCGGCTGCGTACCAAAAGCTTGGCGGTCTCAACACACCAGCTGCTGTGCGGGAAAAAGATGTGGCAGCCTGGAAACTCTGTAAGGCAGTTCTTCTCTGTCAGGTGGAGTCGCTATGAGTTGAAATTGACTCAACAGCACCTAACAGCAACAGTGGGCAGGGAGGTGAGAATGTACTGGCTGTTCCCTGCCTCTTGCTGAGAAGGAGAGCTAAAAATAAAAGGAGCCGGGATTGGGCTTTGCTCTGAGGAGTGGCCCAGCAGCCCAAGTTCCCCCATTCCCACTAGCTCTGAAGGCACAGGGTAGGGATATCAGCTCTGGGGCGCTGCTGAAGGCCCTGAGGGGAGGAGGGGCAGGTGCTCTAGCAGGTGTCACAGATGCTCTGGTGCTCAGGGATGCCAAGGTGTCTGATTCACTAGGACACCAGGTGTCAGCTGAGTAACTTGGTGCCCTGGACTTCAGTGTCCCAGACACATGAACAAGGCTTAAAGATGCATCTTAGTTGTCACTTGTTTCATCTAGTTGTAAACTCCAGGCGCTCCGTCCTTCCTTTCACTGAAGGACTTGCCCAGCAGCAGGGGAAGGCCAAGGCCCATGGTGCTGTCCGTATGGTGCAGAATTCTCCTCGCAGCTGTTGACTGAGCCCCTCCCATGGGGCAGGCTGTCTGAGGGCCAGGGCCCAGCAGGCCTTTGCCCTGGGGACCTTGCATTCTGGAGAGGGAGGGCAAGCATACGCAATAAGCACGATAAACAGGGGTGGAAGACATTGTATGATCAAAAATGGTAAGAATATGTAAAACAGGCAGACCCAGCTACCAGAGATGCGACTATCTGGGAGCTGCCTCTGCAGCTGAAATAGGGCTGTTGAGGTGCCGTTTCAGCAAAGACTTGGGGTGAGGCAGTGAGCCCTGTAGGTGAAGGTGGACGAGCATTGCAGGTAGAGGGAACAGCCAATGCAAAAGCCCTGAGGTGGGGTGTGCCTGGCATGTTTGGGGAGTAATGAGGAGGCTGGTGTGGCTGGAGTAAGAGAGAGTAAGAATGAGGTCAGAGCTAGGGTGGGATTGGCCTTTATGGGATGTTGTAAGGAACATGGAAAAGACATGCCTTTGAAGGGTCCTGGGTGGAGGACTGACTTGAGGTAATTTAGTAGCTGTGGTTTTTTTTGTTTTGTTTTGTTTTTTAACTTTTATTGTGGAAAACATACACAACAAGACATTCGCCAGCATAACAACTTCCACATTTACAGCTCAAGGACAATGACATTTCTCATGTTGTGCCACCATTATTGCCATACTTTTCCAAAACATTCCACCACAATTATCATGAACTCAGTACTCCCCAAACAAAGCTTCCCCTTTCTCCCTTTCTCCTACCCCTGGTAACCACTAATAATTTTTGGTTTATATATGTTGTTGTTGCTATGTGCCATCGAGTTGGACCTGACTCATAGCGACCCCTCCTTGGGTTTCTGAGGCAGTATCACTACAGAAGTAGATTGCCCAACCTTCCTTCCGAGGAGTGGCTGGTGGGTTTGAACCGCCAGCCTTCTGGTTAGCAGTTAAGTGCCTTAGGCACTAAGCTACCAGAGCTCCTGGTTTATATATATATATGTATGTTGTTGTTGTTGTTGTCATGTGCCGTCGAGTCAGCCCTGACTCATAGCGACCCCTCCTTGGGTTTCCGAGGCAGTATCACTACGGAAGTAGGATTGCCCAACCTTCCTTCCGAGGAGTGGCTGGTGGGTTTGAACCGCCAGCCTTCTGGTTAGCAGTCAAGTGTTTTAGCCACTATGCTACCAGAGCTCCCATATATATGTGTATATATATATATATATATATTTTTTTTTTTCCTCCCCCCAACCTCTCTGGGAATTTTCCCTTCCTTCCCATCCCATCCCTGGTAACCAACAAAGAATGTTCCCTTCCATGTATAACCCTTTCCTTGACTTTTTACAATAATGAACTAATGAAATATTTGTCCTCCTTTGATTGACTTATTTTACTCAGCATAATATCCTCCAAGTACATTCACGCTATGTGGTGTTTTGCAGATTCTACATTACTCTTTAGGGTTACATACTATTCCATGATTTGGTTTTTAAAGGACCTGTGCTGCTTCTGGGTTGAGAATAGGCTAGTGGGGAGGACAGTCAGGGTGGTAAGGATAAGGCAGAGAGAAGCAATCTCAGTGGCCTGGAGAAGTAGTGATGGTGCTGCAGACCTGGGTGGTGGGTGGACAGAGGAGTCCAGATTCTGGGTCTGTTTCGAAGATAGTGCCAGCACACTTGCCTGTGGGTTGGATGTGGGCTGTGAGAGAGGAGTCAAGGACAGCTCCTGAGTTTGTGGTCTGGACAACTGGAAAGGTGGAGTTCACGTGAGTGGGCAGTGTACCTCTGAGTTAGCAGTCCATTGGCAGGGTCTGGGCTAGAGACCTGAGTTGGGACTCACCAGCATACAAGTGGGAAAGGCCTCGGTGTGTCCTTGCAGTTCGGTGCTTGTCAAGGACCAGAGAAGAGCCAGGTGCTTGGGCATATGTGGCTGGGGTCACCATCCATCTGCTCAGGCCTGCCCTGTGTCCCCCTGCACAGCACGCAGCGCTTTCTGAGTACCGGCCCATCCTCTCGGACGCACACCGGCGGCAGCACTGCATCTCCGTAGCTGATAAGAAGCTGGTCCTCATCCCACTCATCTTCATCTGCCTGCGGGTCTGGAGCACTGTGCGATTCGTCCTGACGCTCTGTGGCTCCCCTGCTGTACACATGCCAGTGCTGGTGGTTCTGCATGTAGGTCCGCCTCCCCAGCCCTGCTGCTCCGTGGTGTTGGCAGCAGTGGGGTCGGGTCTCCTCCCCAAGCAGAGTGACACACCCTGGGGAGCTAGCTTGCATGGGACTGGCGAGTTGCTCAGCTCTGCTGTGCCTTCCCAGCCTGCAGAGACAGTGAGGCGGACATCTCTGAGTGGAGGGGGCCTTGGAGAGAGATAATGGGGAGATGCCTGTAGTTCTGGCACATCCCTAGGGCTGGGGTGCTCTCCAGTGAGCTAGGCTTAGCCTCAGGAGAGTTGACCGATCCTGGGTTCCTCCCAACCTGAAGCTCCAGAGACAGGTCTGTGGCAGGCCTGCAAGGCCAGGCCTGTCCAGAGCTTTGCTCAAGGCTCAAGTGGCCTTGTCATCCCAGGCCAGCCTCGGGTGGGAGGAAGGTTGTAGGTGAGTAATGCTTCCCGGCCTCCTGTGTCTGCGTTGTTACAGCTGGCTTCATTCCTGCACTCATACCTCCTCTTGTCTCCTGGACAGGGGATCGGGAACACGTTCCAGGGAGGAGCCAACTGTATCATGTTCGTCCTTTGCACTCACACCATCCGGACTCGGCTCTTCTCCCTCTGCTGTTGCTGCTGTCCTTCCCAGCCTCCTGCTGAGATCCCAGCCAGCCCTCCCAAGGTGCCAGCACCCTCCAAGATCAGAGACTCTCAGGAATCCACACAGACCCGAGTAGGACTTCCAAGTGTCTGAGCTTCTGCCCTTCCTAGTTTTGGGCTCAGGTGCTTCCTCTGGGGACTGAGGCCCTGTGAGTCCTGTTCCAGGGGGTAGGTGTGGGAGTGGGTACCTGCTCTGTAGGCCCTGTGCTCTGTAAGCTCCCCCGACAGGTGGAGCAGCTGCAAACTCAGCTTCTTCTACCTCCTAGATGCTAGGTGGCTGAGTCCCCTTATAGTGTGTCCTGGTCCTCTCGTGGATCGGTCTACATGAGGGTCAGTGATGAAATTCAGGGAAACCAGTCATCTGTTGTCACTGCCACGGCGCCTCAGCGCCCAGTGGCCATCAGTCTCCTGATGGCCACCAGCACTGTTTACAATGTGAGGGACCTACACTGTGTACCCATCCTGCGTGTGACTAAATAAAGTACCAGGGGTACAGAGGTGTGTCCCCAGCATCATGGAGCAGATTCCTGGTTTTTCAGGGTGTTGAGAAGCCCTGGAGAGCTTGACTGGTCAGTAAGGAACTGGTCACCTCACCTGAACCAGGCTGAAGGGTCCCCTGAGGTTTCTCGGCAACCATGTGGGCACATCCCAACATCACTGCTTAGGGAGGGCAGGTCTGAGGGCCTCCTGAACTCCCTCTGTCTAGGCTGCCAACACCGGATGTAGATTGTGTCCTAAGTTTCAAGGGCAGACCAGAATCCAAAATCCTGCCGCCACCAGATAGTTACTTAAAATACAGGTTCCCAGCTTCCAAGGAGAGGCTGGGCCAGGGACAGGAGGAAGACGCTAACTACACTGTTGCTAGGTCTTCTATATAATACCCCTGCCCTTAGGGGATGAGTTGGGAAGTGATCTGGAAAATTCACTTGTTAGTTTAGTTTTTGTAGGAAGGACAACCAGAGAGTGAATGACCCAAATACAGATTCTGTCCTGAAGGGGAAGGTTTAAGGCCAGATGTTTTGAGGGTTGGCACAAGTGCAGACATGGGTCATGGGGTTAGTATTTACATTGAAAGAAAAAGATTTAAAATAAACCTCTCTATGAATTATGGTGTTGGTGAAGAATATTGAATATACCATGGACTGCCAGAAGAATGAACAAATCTGTCTTGGGAGAAGTACAGCCAGAATGCTCCTTAGAATTAAGGATGGTGAGGCTTTGTTTCATGTACGTTGGACTTGTTATCAGGAGGGACCAGTTCCTGGAGAAGGACATCATGCTTGGGAAAGCAAAGGGTCAGGGAAAAAGGGGAAGACCCTCAACAAGATGCATTGACACAGTGGCTGTAACAATGGGCTCAAACATGGGATGGTTGGGAGGGTGGCCAGGATCAGGCAGGGTTTAGTTCTGTTTACAGATAGAGTCCCTATGAGTTGGAGCCAAGTTGAAGGCACCTAACAACTCGACGGCACATAACAACAACAACAACAACAACAACACTTGTATCTATATTCTATGACTCTTGCACCAACACTCTCCTCCTATTTCAGAAAACAATGTGCTTACCAATTGGCCCCAAGAATTAAGTCACAGAAGCCATTGGCTAAGAATGGGGCTGGCCACCCCCAATGCATCCACAGTAGAGTTGTTTGGGAGGTGTAAACACTGCCGAGAGAGGGCTGGGTGCAACTTTATCTAACAGGTGTCCTTCCCTTGGTTCCATTTTCTGAACCTAGCACAATGGTTCTGAATTCAAACCAAAGCCGCACCGTAGTATCGATTCCTATTTTATTCTCAAAAGTAAAATCTCTATCAGGAAGAGAATCTGAAAGCAATAAGCACTTTGAGAAAGAAGTCCAAAATGCATATTTTTGGTTTCTTGTAAAAATAGCTTTTTAAAATAAAAATCAGCAAGAGGTGAACCAAACCAGAACACCCGTTCCGTTGAGTCAGTTCTGACTCATAGCGACCCCATTATGTGACAGAGTGGGACTGCTTCATAGGCTTTTCTTGGCTGTCGTCTATGGAGGCAGAGCACCAGGCCTTCTTCCATGGAGCCACTGGGTGGTTTGAACCACCAACCTTTAGGTTAGCATCCAGTTACAAACCACTTACCACCACATATCCCCATAGAATTCAAGGAAAGATCTAGGCTCCCCTAGGGAGAACTACCCCAAGGCATGCAATATCCTTGTATAAATGGCCCAGGTAAGGGGGTCCTAGGGTCCTCTGAAGACTTCTGATGCTTTGAAGCAAATTGTTGAGCCTGTAGCTGGTAAAGGCTCTCACTTTAGTTTCTAGAATGGAGCAGAAATTGACTTAGAGTACAAGGCCACAGAGGAATGATGTTGGAATAAACCCTGCTCGGAGTGGCTCCAGGGTCCTTGGCTCTGGGGCTGCCCTGTCATTGTGGCCTTTATAATCAGTCCTGAGACCCAGGTTTTTTCAGGTTGTGCACACGTGCCAGGAGCTCAGAGAATACATCTCGGGGTGCGCAGGATTGCACACAAGCTCTCATTCACGTGTTTGATGCTACTGGCAGTGCTGTCTGCTATTGTAAATACCTCCAGAAAGTGCTGACGCCACTAGCTGCCATCTTGTTGACTCTGACTCATGGTGACCCATGTGTGTTGGGGTAGAACTGTGCTCTGTAGGGTTTTCTCTTTCTTTCTTTTTTTTTTTTAAATTTCTTCTTATTATTTTTTTAATTTTCTTTTAATTAATTAATTTATTTATTTATTTTTATTTGGGTGAAGATTTACAGAGCAAATTCACTTCCCATATAGCAGTTCACATATACTTTGTCTCATGTCATTGACCACAGTTTACCACAACGCAACAACTCCCCTCCCACTTCCTCCCCATAGTTACCTCTTCCCAGGGACCCTCTCTCCATACTCTCCTGTGCCCTGAGCTGTCTCCCTGTGCATAAGCAGCCCTTCCTTCTCCCTTAATTGTTCTCTCCAGGGCGTGTGTCTACTTGAGGTAAATGTTTAATTCACATGCCTGTACACTGTTTGGCTGGAAACCACAGGTGT